AAAGTCGAGCAGGTCGATGAGACGGGACTAGGTGGAGCTAGTAGTTGGGGTAGGCGGTGCGCGGGGCGGGGTTGCGGTGCCTGCAGGGGGCTCCACCCCTTGAGGCGGGGCGTCCCCTTGCCAATCACTGACTGTTCGCCCACCCACTGGAGCTGCTGGGGCTGCCTCAGGGTGGGGGAGGTCGGGGAGAGGGGCGATAAAATGGCGCAGGGGGCGGAGTGAGGCGAGGTCTTTCGCCCAGGCTTCGGCCCGGCTTCCGGAGGTGAAGAAAGGGAGGGGCGAGGGGTCGGCATTGCCTGGCTGGAAGGAGGATGGGAGAGCCTGTTGCTTCTTCAGGGGACCGCGTACGCCGTCCGCCCCGTTAAGGGGGTTGGGAGGCCCTCACTCGGCTGGGAGAAGGGCTCGTTTTCGTTCTTGAGGTGATGGCGGCGGGAGGGAAGAGAAGGGGAGTGTCCCTGCCCCCACCTCCACGTTGGCGGGCTATAGGTGCCCTCACCCTGCTGAGGAAAAGGGAGGTTGTTTGGGGGCCTGGGAGGCGGGGAGTGACGTCGGCTCTCCCAGCCCAGTAGGGATGGGGAGGGATGGAAGTGTAGGCGGGTGGGCGATGCCGCTGTGCCGCTGCCCCCGGCTCCACTGGGGGGTGGTTGTAGCTGGGGAGGGGATAGTGGTCTTTCTGCCATTCCTGGTGGGTGGGGGGAGGAAAGGATGACCTGCCACTTCGGGGAGGGGGGCCTGGGTCCCGCTATGGTGAGGGTGTGGGTAGCCATCGTCAGGAAGAGGGGCGCTGGCCTGCCGACCGTCCGGTTTTGCCCCTACGGGGGGAGGGGCGGAGATCAAGCCCGCGCTTCTCCCGCCTTCCAGAGGGAGGCGGGAATTACTGGTCCTTTCGGAGGTTGGAAGAGGGAAGTGCGAAGGCCCTGTCCTGGGGCGATGCTGTGCTGGCAGCCGTGGCATTTCTTAGGGAGCGGTGGGGGAGGTCAAGCGGCAACCTCCGAAGGGTGCCTTTGGGCCATTCTTCCTCCTGGCTCTCAAGAACTGGAGGGCCCCCCCCCCCCATTTCCTTCCTGGGCCGGAGGGAGGGCAGTTGGCACAGAAAGCGATTGAAATGCCCACCTGCTGCCTCTACCTGACTTCCAGTTACTCATGGATGTTAGAGGCTCCAGGCTTTAGCAAACCTAAGTTGTTTTGTTTTGTTTTTTAATTTTATTTTAAAAAAGAAACCTGTTGCTGCGGCTTAGATACTGGTCTCCCATGCCTGTGTGGGAGGAGTGTCCTGGGGCCCTTCAGCAGAAATTTCCAGTTCTGGGTTGTTTTTCTGTCCTACAGCTTTTTCATTTACCTCAAAGGGAGTTGCACAATTCTTACAGATAATTGCAGTTCACTGTGATTTTGTTTAAGCGTTATAGCTGTCCCTGTTATGGAGTGGTCAGACTTACTCCGTGCCTTTGTGTGGTGTGCCTCACAGGTACTGCAAGGCAAACGGGGAAGGCTGGAAATGAAGAGCCAGTGGGGAAGTCCTATCCCTTGAAAATAATCCTTACCCTTATCTGTCAGCTCCCGCTTGGTAATGCTCTTGGTTTTAGAGCCTTGAAAGAGGGACGCAGGGTCGTGTCTGGTGTTGCAGTTTTAGTGACCTGAATAAAATAAAGCTTTGTGCTCTGAGGCAATGGGTTTCTTAGGTATGATAAAAATAGAAAGGGAACCAGTTTCTGAGGTTGCAACCAGGAGGTTAGAGAACAGGCAGGGCGGGCGTGGTAAACTGAAGTGTGAAGAAGGGGGTGGACAAGTAAGAGAAGTAGAAGGACAGAATAGGGTCACAGAAGGGATGGGGAGCAGAGGAATTAAGAGAGAGACTTGGGAGGTGGGAAAAATATTCTTCCCTTAAAAATAAAGAGGTCCTCGTATTTTTGGTGGAGGTTATAAAGTACCAAGAAAGGCAGGTGATGGTTCAATAGCAGACAGAAGTGCTGAGGCTGTCCTATGGAACTTGAGTTTTATCTGAGATTCTACTCCCCTCTCCCCGCAAATTCATTAAATACCAACTTGCATTAGTATAGGGCTTTTAGGTTTAGACTGCTTTCATAAACTTGCCCTCATTTGGTTCTCATGATAATCTGTGTTTGAAGTTAACAGTGAATAATTCCCATTTTTTCAGATGAGTATTCTCATCTGTGTTGAGGTTCAGAGACTTCAAGTGAATTGCTGAAGTTTCTGAATTTTAGTTTAGTTCCTCTCTGTGCGATACTTTATTATTAGTTTGCAGAATTTGCCTGATAGTTTAGATGTCCATACAGCCTGGTCTTTAATTTAGTGACAAAATGGTTGAGTGCTGGGTTAAACTAGAAGAGATGGGGTGTCCAATCTTTTGGCATGTCTGGGCCACACTGGAAGAAGAGTTGTCTTAGTCCACACATTAAACACAAACACTAATGAAAACTGATGAGCCAAAAAAAAAAAAAGATTTTAAGTAAACTTAGAATTTTGTGTTGAGCCGCATGCAGCCAGGGGTCTAGAGGACACCCCTGCTAAAGTACACTGAATAATTTCTTAACATGCAAGGACTAGCAGAAGTTCCTTACCAGTGTAGCACTTTCTGTTTTCCTATTCTTTGAATGCTTCTCTTAAGACTCTTAACGGGTCAGGGAGATGGTGAAGGTGGGGTGAAATAGTATCTATAGCCACTACTTCAGCTTTTACATCGTGCCTATAGCATGCTAAGTGCTTTATGTTCACTCTCTCATTTAATTCTTCCAACAGCCCTGTGAGGCAGGTATTATGATGGACCCCATTTTACATGGGAGGACATTTGAAACTTCAGAATGTAATCATTGTATCGCCACTGACTTCTCATTTAAAAATGTTTTTATTATTAAATATTTTGAGCATATAAAAATTATAGGAATGAATACTAACAGTAATGAATACCATGATACCCACCATTAAGCTTTATCTTATGTTGCCACATTTGTTTTAGGGCTTTGTTTTGTTTTGTTTAAGAAAACATTACAGGTAGGATTGAAGCTCTTAAGCTCCCTTGCCATTCCTCTTCCCTCCCACAACTAGAGGTAACCACTATCCTGAATTTGGTGTTTCTTATTTGTATGCATGTTTTTATAATTTAATGATATATGTATCTGTGCATATACAATTTGTGGTATTTTTTAAAACAAATTACAAGGAAAAATAGGGAATCTATAGATTAAAATACAAGACATCAAATAATTACAATGTATGGTCCTTATTTGGACACTGATTTTTAAGAATCTTTAAAAATATATGACATTTATAGAACAATTGGAAATCTAAACTGACTTTTATGATAAGGACTTCTTGTTATTTACAGATGAAATGATGTGATGCCTGGAATTTGTGTCAAAATAATCCGATAAAGGGGGGAGGTAGATGGCATAAGATTAGCTATATGTTGATAGTTGTTGGGGCTGGGTGATGGGTATGTGGGGGTTCATTATGCTATTATGTTATTTTTGTACATGTTTTAAATTATGAGTATGTTTCAAAATGAGGAAATAAGATTCGGAGAATAATTTGTGCCAGTTGAAAACTATATGTATATGGCATTGTTTTGCATGGTTTTTTTCCCAACTCTTTTGGCACATTCTGTGAGAGAAGCTCAGAAGACCCAGGTCTGTGGCTCTGGATGTCAGTATGGCATAGGAATTGGTGTTTTCAGTGATTGTGATTTTGGTCCTGTGCGTGCAAGTAAAGCAATGATGTTTTTCTTCTAGTGAGCTTTGGCCACATTCAGGGGTATTTCTCATGTTCTTCCATTCCACCTGGGAGGTCAAGGGAAGTCTGTGCATAATAAAGTGGCTTAAATTATTTTTGCAAGGCACCAGGAACCCTCATTGGTGTCCACATCTTTCATGTGTGTTAGAGGATGTAGTGAATTTAGAAGGCTCTGCCATTTGCTGACTGACCCTGGACAAGTCTGTCACAAGGGTCAAAGAAGAAAAAACATTGCCTTGGGAATCAGACCTGAGTTTGGATCCTTGTTCTAGCAGTATTACTTCTGTATATTTGGTTAAGTTAGGTTATGCCTCTGAATGTTGGTTTCCCAAGAGTGAAAATCTGTTGAACTCTTCGTTTCTTCAAACAGGTGCTTGAACTAGACCTTTCGGGAGTAGCTGGAGTGAAAGTAGGGGTAGGGGCTCAGAAAGGGCTTCTCAGAAATGGAGTTGCTTAACCCCAGTGCCTGCGATACTTGTGCTTGACAACCACAAACTTTAAGTAAACTTTTCTTCTGCCTAAAGAGATAACTATTAAGAAACACACTCATTGGGCAGGGAAATTACTTTTATCTTCTTGGAGGAACCTGCTTCAGTGCCTGAAACTCTTGCAACAATTGCTGGTAAAATAAGAGAAAAAGTCTTAGCAGCTTTAAGATGAAATACAACAGAAAATTTAGTTTCTTTGATAAGATCTGTGTTACAGAGTTAAGTTGAGGGGTTAAATTAGAGTGGTAAAGTGTCTCACAGTGCCTGATTTATAATAGTTAAAATTTCTTCCTTTTCTGTCCCACCTCATTTCCAAGATGAGTAAATTTAACTAGCTTCTTTTATTTATTACCCTCCAAATTTTATTGAGATATAATTGACGCATAACATTGTATTAGTGTAAGGTGTTCAACATAGTGATTTGATATATGTACATATTGCCGTGTGATTTTATCACCTCACGTAGTTACAATTTTTCTTGTGATGAGAATTTTAAGGATCGGTTTTCTTAGCAAGTTTCAAGTATGAAATACAATATTGTTATCTATAATCATCGTGCTGTGTATTACTTAGGGTCCCTTTTACAATAATTCTAAAATTCTGTCATCCTTTCCCTTCTCTTTCTGTAATACTGTATTGACCATACCACTTTATATTTTCTCATAGTGGTGTGTAATTTTAAGTTATTGTCTCCTTAGCAAGATTATACATTTTTTGAGGGTGGAAGTCGTATCTTTATTTCTTAGAAATTGTATAGAGACGTATTATCTAGCTCATTGCTGTGTGATGATAGTAGCATGGAGAGTGTTTTCTGTAAGAATGCATGAACTAAAGGTAAAGTTCCAGGTGTGGAATGGAGGCAAGTGGGGTAGGCAAAATTCACAGTTAAAAGACTATAACGAGTTTTCCAAATTATTGAGTTTAGTGTTTAATAATTTCTTATAGTTTCTCAGATGTTGACATGTAATATGTAAAATATTAGCTTAGAGATTGCCTGGTCCCCTCCCCGCTGTATTCCATCTCTTTTCCATTTTATAAATGAGGAAACAAGTCCAAATGGTTAAGAGCCTTGCCCAAATTATTATAGCTGGTTAGTGGCAGAACCAGGACTGTAATCCAGGTGTTTGGACTTAGAAGCAGTATTCATCCTACTCAAGGAAATGATATCCTTAAGAAAGTACAAATTGTTGAACAAAATTAGTTCCTTAGTTGCATAATTTTTCCTTTAAAGGGTTTTCTTTGATGTTCTTGACTCAAAATCCAACTTTCTGGTATTTAAAAAGAAATCAAGATGAAAATTAATAGATGGAGCACCTTAAAAGCATAATACAGTTGACTTTGTAATTAGCAGAGTTGAAAGTGATGGGAAGATCTTTAATTTTCTTTGTACCTGCAGGAAGGTGGGAGTCAATCATTTTGACAAGTCTCCTGAAAGGAACAGCTAGCAGGAGCTGAAACCCTTTTCCATTCGGTCTCATGACAAAGGCAGAGATCAAACCAGCAGCTCCACACAGTATGGAAGACTTTGCTTGTATTCTTAATGTGCCTTTTTTTTTTTTTTTTAACTTCAAGAATAATACGTTTGTTTTTTAAAAAGTGTAAACTGTGAAAATCCAAACATTTTATATAATATATATTTGTTTTGTGTGTATGTGGTGGATATTATTCCATGATAGTATATACAGGTCTCATTGTGTTTTTTTAAATAGAGTAGTGCCCTCTTGTCTGCAGGGGATATGTTCCAAGATCCCCAGTGGATGCCTGAAACTGTGGATAGTAATGAACCCTATATATACTATGTTTGTTCCTGTACATACATACTTATTAATTTAGTGGGAATTTTATAGCTTCTCCTTGGCAGATACGAATTGCCAGCATCACTACTTGCACTTTGAGGCCATTATTAAGTAAAATGAGGGTCACTTAAACACAAGCACTGCAGTACCATGGCAGTTGTCCTGAACACTGAGATGGCTACTAAGTGACTAATGAACGGGTGGCACATTCAGTGTGGATACCCTGGACAAAGGGAGTGGGAAGGCATGAGATTTCACCACACTATTCAGAGTGGTATATGTTTTAAAACTTAAGAATTATTTCTGGCATTTTCCATTTAATATTTTTGAATCTTGATTGACCTCAGGTAACTGAAACTGTGGAAAGTGAAACTGCAGAGAAGGAGGGAATGCTGTAGTTGTAAATATTCCTTAACATGAATGTACCATGATTTTACTTAACTGTTATCCTGGTGATGGATATTTAGGTTGTCTCCAGTATTTGGCCATTTTGAATAATGCTGCTTTGGACATCCTTGTAAATGTATCCGTGTGTATTTGTATTGGTATTTCTGTAGGATAAACTTCCAGAAGTGAAATATCTGCGTCAAATGGTATTGCCACATTATTATCCACAAAATATTGTGCCGGCTTACACTCTCACTGACAGAGTGTGAGGGTACTTTTTCCTCACATCCTCATCAGCCTGGATGGATTATTATGTCATCTTAATTTTTACCATTTTGGTAGGGAAAAAAAAGTATCTCATTGTTCTAATATGTATTTCCATGATTCTGATAAAGTTAAATACCTTAAAGTTACTTTTCATGTTACAAGTCACAGTGTAAAGAATTTGAAATGTTAGGACACCACCACTCTATAGAGCAGATTGGAGTTGGTATAAGGGTTCCTGTTCCTCAGCACAACTGCCTCTTTATTTCTCCAGATATGATGTGCTCACTAGTGCCCTCTAGGGCTTCCTTGGATGAGGATGTATTGGATGACACCTTGCTGGACCCAAGTGAAGGAGAAGAAGATGATGGCCTTTTCAGTGTCACTGAGGAAGAGGAGGAGGAATTATTGAAGTCAGATGAGGAGGAAGAGGAGGTGAAGTTACTGAAGGCAGATAAGGACAAGGAAAATTTATTGGATAGCTGTGGACCAGTAGCTGAGACTCCTGGCCTCTCCAAAGTACCTCAACTAAATATATCAGTTGGTCAGGGACCAACTCCTGCAAAACCATTAAACAGACCCTTTGCATTAGAAAAGAATCATGTAAAGTTAACAGTTGTTGCACCATTTAATCCAACAGTTTGTGATGTTGTGCTTGATAAGGACAAGACTGATACATCCAAAGATGTTGAAAAACCCTCCTCCCTCGGAGAAGAGATGAGAGAAGATGGTGTTAGCCCAAATAAGAACAAACTTTGCACTAATTCTGAAGGGATCATTCCCAATAACTCTGCCTGGGATGGTCCCCAACTCCCTTCTCCTTCAAATAATAACTTTAAACAAACTGTCCCTGATAAAAGTATGCCTGATAGTAAGAAACCTACACCTGTGTGCTCTCAAATCTTGGACCATTCAGAGACTCCTCATACAGGGTCGTCCTCAAAAAATGGATCACATAAATCAAGTTGTGAAGTGAGGTTTCCAGTTGTTTCCAGTTCATCGAACAAAGTAAGTATATTTTTTGAAGATGAAGAGAAAAATAAAATTATTTTTATTCAGAAGCTGTATAGCAGAGCTTTGTATTCAGACAAATTGGGGTTTGAATCCTATCTAGCACCATGACCCTGGATAGATTATTTAGACTCTCTGTTTCCTTACATTTCTTATTTATAAATTGGAGTAAATAATATTTCATGGTATAGTAAAGATTAATAAAATAATGTATTTACAGTAACATGCATGATATTAAATTACCACTTACTGAATAATTACTAAGTTGATGATTTTACTATTATTTTTCCTTTGGGCTTCAGCCTAAGTCTCAGTCTTTAGTTATATTGCCATATTAGATGTAGCACCAGCTCTGAGTCAGCTTCGGAAGAGCTGGGAAATCTTGGGCAATATACTTAACCACTTTAAGCCTGGTTCCCTTTCTCCCAAATGAATGTGGTAATCCCTACTGCTTAGGGTCCTTTTTTTCCTTAAGATTATAGTCACTCTCATTTAAAGCAGCTAGCATAGTGCCTGGTACACAGTGAGAGTCAAGAATATGCCTCTGAGGCCTTTAGTTCAAGCATATTTCCATAGTGTGCTCAGTTATTTTCTTACAACTAAGAACCATTTTTCCTTCTGCATTTCTTCTACTCTGAAAAAAAAGGATGTTGTTGACAAGGATTCTGGGAAGCTGAAAGTCCCTGAGAGAGTAGGCAAAGTCATTCCTGTTCTGCAATCCAAAACAAGGTAACTGCATAATGAAATATTCTGGTTTCTTCCTCAGTTTCTCTTCTCAGTTCTCCTGTACTGTGGGGAGTGGGGTAAAACCCTGCCACAGGAGTGAGCACACTTGAAGTTCTGGGACTACCTATTGGTATGACCTTGGGCAAGTCAAATAATCTCTGACCTCAGTTTTGTCAATAAAATGAGGCTAATGATGCCTTCTCGTATGCCCCACGGGATTATTTTTGAAGAGTTAAAAAAGACATATTAGTGTCCTGGCCGGTGTGGCTCAGTTGGTTGGAGTGTCATCCCATAACTGAAAGATTGCAATTTCAATTCTGGTCAGGGCACCTACCTAGGTTCCGGATTCAATCCGAGGTCCAGGCGCACGGGAGGCAGCCAGTTGATGCTTCTCTCTCACATCAAAGTTTCTCTCCCTCTCTCTAAAAGCAATGAAAAAAAAGACATTACTGAAAGCACTGTATAAATGTAAGATTTCTTTTCCTGTGTATGGGCAAGCCTGGTCACAGATATGGTAGGATGTTAGAATAATTTTATAGCAATATAGAAAATCATTTAGTCATCTCCCAACTTGCATACTACTGTTCCAGGGAAAAATTCGTATAGAGGTTGCAGATTTGGGTCACCTTTTCAATTAGTGCTCTTGTTGCCAGGAGATGGCAGTGTCTCCACATGGGCCTTTTCAGTTAGCAAAGCTGTTTTTCAGGTTGAATTGCATCAACTTTTTTACAGTGATATTTAAAATTTTATTTGTCTTTCCATTTATTTACTTTTAAATCTTTATTGTATTTTGTTCCCATTACCACTTAATCCCCTTATACCTCCCTCCCCCAATTTTGTTTTATTACACAGATACTGTGCTTTTGAAAATTTAAAATATTATAAATAAGGTTAAAGTCTCTCCCTTTTCTGTTTTGTTTTGCTTTTTTCCTTTTGTTTGCATAATTTGGAAACTTTGTGAATTTCTCACAATGGGAATTATACCAGAGAACTTAAGTCAGGCTACTTGAAACAGTAATAAACCAACTATCTCAGTGTTCTCCTCTGTAGACTCCTCAGTATAGTGCAGTCAGTGTGAGCAAGGGCCGGATGTTGTTCTTGCCAAGGTCACCAGTGTTCTAATCGCCAGATCCATTTGGCTCTTCTCTGTCTTAACCTCATTTAATTTTTCTGTGGCTTTGTGAAGTTAGTTAGCTATTTCCTGACTAACCTTGGAAAGTAACTGAAAAGATACTTTCTTTTCTAGGAACTAGGTAGTTACTTTCTATGCCTTGTTAATAGTTGTATATATTTCTTCCCTTTTTCCTCACAACTCCATACTTGATTTCAGCTTTGCGCTATGTGACTAAAACAATCTTGTGTCATCAAATCTTAGAGTGTATTTTGCCTCTGAAAATTACTTGTTCTAATTGATGAGCAGTGTATGACTTCTGTCAACAAAACATACTCCTGATTCTAATGGACTGTTTTTCTCCTGATTTGCTTTGTTCCAGGACTAATGTTCCGACATTTTCACAATCAGATCTAGAACGAAAGAAGCAAACTTACGTCAGGAGTGTCTTTGCTCATATAAAAAACTCAGTGGACTCTAACCAAGGTAACATGGTAACCAAAGAATGGCATGTAAAGATGTGATGGGACTTTCTTTTTTCCAGTGTAAGAGAGCTTAAATTGAGAGATTGTTTTGAATTTTCTTAAATTGGTGAGAAAGATAACTTGCTTAACCAAAAATTTTCATTTTAAGGGATTGCCTCACCAGGTAATCATCAAAGTGGCTGGGCTAACCAGTGTTAGCAGGTGGTCCAAAGAGACTCGTACCAGTACATGAAAAGTATCTCCCCCATGGCCAAGGACCTGTTCTTTTTGCTAGGGACTTCTGTGTCTGAAAAATGATAGAAGTGGATGCCCATGCACTATTTAGTAATCATTGATTTTTATTTGGAATTATTTATTTTTCCCTGTTGCCTTTAGCATTTAAATGTAAAAAAGCAAGCATTTCAAATTTCGTCCTGCCTCTTGCTATTTGTATAAAAGCTCTTGACAGGCTTTGACTATTTTCCAGATCCTTCAAGCTGAATTATTCCTAGTTCATTAAAACGTATTGCAAACCAAAATTGCTGGACTCCTCTAGCCCTCAAGAGACTGTTATATATTATAGTTCATGTTATCATTCATCCTTAACTATTGACTGATGGGAAAACTTTTCACAGGAAACTTGTGGGCTGTACTGAAGGTGCAGAGGTTAGAGAGGTACTGATAGAAGAATTCCTTCTTACAAAGATAACTATATATTCCATCATCTTTAATGTCTTTATTTATTCAGCAAACCTTTCTCAAGAACTTTCAGTGGTGTTAGGTTCGAAGGTTAGGGATTGTAAACATAAAGAGAAGTGATCTAGAGTCTTGGCCTTTTGGGAATTGATAGCCCAGAGAAAGAAAGATAATTATACATACTGCAGTTTTGTTCAGTGCTCTAATAGAACCATGTACAAAGTGCAGTCGGAGCAGGGAAAGAGCCCTTCTGTTTGTATTTGGGGAGAGTGGAAGATGGGGAAGGAGGATGCTATAGGTGGGCTGCACAGAGAAGATAATTAGTTGTTACTCTAAAATTACAAACGAGGGCTTTAGAAGAACATTTGGCCAAAGATCAGCGGAGCCTCCCTTTTCTTTGACAATTCTTAAATTAGTGAGTTTTTTCTTTTTCGTTTTATAAAGCTATGAGTGAAGAGGTTTAGAATTCTTGACACATCAGTCAGAAGAATTTTTTATTCCAGGTCCTTTTTTTTTTTAAATCAAAAATTTCGTTAAACAATCAAATATTCCTAATACTGATTGCTCAGCCCTCTCTGGTGGTGAGATCCCTTTGCTTGAGTTATCTTAAAAGTCTGGTGGGATAGGGACACTTCCTCCTGCCCCTCTACCACACCCCAGGTCGCTGGAGGTGCAGATTAAAAGAAGTTTGTCTATATTCAGCCTCTGTGGAAGAGGGTTGATCATTGCTTTTCCCTCCATGAGGTGACTTTTCTTTTTTATTTTTTTAAAAAGATTTTATTTATTTATTTTTTAGGGAGAGGGGAAGGGAGGGAGAAAGAGAAGGAGAGAAGCTTCAGTGTGAGAGAGAAACACCAATCAGTTGCCTCTTGAACATGCGCCAGCTGGGGACTGAACCTGTGACCCAGGCATGTGTCCTAACTAGGAATTCAACTGGCAACGTTTTGCCTTGCAGGATGATGCCCAACTGAGCCATATCAGTCAGGGCAAGGTGAATTCTCTTTTTTATCCTAGGCAGTTGATACTGATATATTCAGGTATACATTTTCCTTTCTCAATTGGGGCATTTAGAAAAGAAATTTCACACACAAAAAAAGCAGTGAGCAGCCGCTTATTTTAGAGCATCCTTTTCAGTGTCTTCCCCCATGCCACAGTCCGTCCCCCATTTTATCACGGCGATCCCTACCTGTAAGGGACAGCTAGAGTAACTGGTATAGAGGAAAGACAAGCATATTTTAGTGGTTGGGAGAGTAAAGTCTAGTCTAAAGTTAACTTCAGAGCTCATATCTTAGCACCATTGCTTACTGGCTATGTGGCCTTGAATCAGTAAAAACTCAGTTTTCTCATTTGTAAAATGGGGATAATAATGAGACTTAGCTTATGTAAAAACTACGTTACTTGTAAGTACAAGTATAATGCATAGAACAGTACCTAGCCATAGCAACTAACATTTATTGAATACTTGGTATTAGCAAGAAAGTGTATTTTTACATACTGAAGTTTTTATAGGTAAAATAGTATGATATCAGTGTTTGTTTTTAAATCTCAAAAAAAGAAAAAACAACCTGGAAAATTAGAGAAAATAGCTTTAATAAAATGTAGATAAAAGAAGCTAGCTGAGTGATGGGTATGTGGGGTTTCATTATACTGTTACATACTTTTGCATGTATTTGAGAATTTCCATAATAAAAAGTTGTTTTTTAGAAAGTGCATCTTTTCCCCTGACCAGTGTGCCTTAGTTGGGCATGATCCCGCAAAGCAAAGGATCTCTGATTCGATTCCTAGTCAGGGCACATGCCTGAGTTGCAGCCAGTCAGTGTTTCTCACATCGATGTTTCTCTCCCTCTTTTTCTCCCTCCCTTCCCCTCTCTCTAAAAATATAAATAAAATCTATTTAAAAAGTGCATGTTTTAGGGAATTCCTTTTTAACATCTAGGAATATTTAACATTGCCAGTTAAAATGTCGCAGCCCTCCAACGCTTGCTTCTGCCTTCTAGAAACCCAGGGTGATACTAAGTTTTTTGTTAGTTCCTACTGCCCAGTATTCATATATCCAAAACCTAAAGATTTGATATACCATATTGTAGGACGAACAGGGTCATAGTTTTCATTTCTTCTGTGTTTATATATGAATTACAGAGCAGCCAGAAGCAAAAAGAGGGAGTATAGTGCATCCTGTCTTTCTTTCTTTCTTTTTTTTTTTTTTGAGATGTTTAGTGCTATTTCACCTTGGAAAAGTATGTCTTAGGTTCTGTATTAGACACAGAAATTAGTAGGGCAGATTCCAATGTAGTTCCTGCCAATTCAGTTTGAATCCTCTCCATTGGGTTAATCATCTTTCATTTTATCAATAATGTATATATTATTGATACAGAATATAATAATATAATTTATCCTTCAACTCCATTATTATAATATAGATATACTCTCTTTTTTAGCTTAGTGCCACCTGGTTCTTCAATAACATTTACAAAAAAATGTCAACCACTTTCTGACATCACAGCTAATGGAAAACTTATTATGAAATTATAAGTTCTTAAAGTAAAAAGAACCATTAAGATCTTCTCTTTAATCTCCAAACACATAATTCTGTTCTGTGTATCTTTGCCAAGTGACCATTCAGCCTTTGCTTTCAGTTCTAATAGTGCAAAACTCATTACCTCATGAAGCCAGCCATTCATTGCTTAGAAAATTCTAATTGTTAGAAAGTTATTCCTTACATTGAGCCAAACTCTGCTTTCCTATAATTTCCACTGGTAGTTCCTAGTCCTGTCCTCTAAAATCACAAAAAATAACTGCTCTCTTCCATTCACTTAATGTATTTTAAGGACCTTTTTTGTGTTACATATCTCAAATTAAGATTTTTTTAATGATTACAAAGTATATTACATCTTGGATAATTAGATTGTGTCCATTTTCATTCGTAATGCTGCAGTGAACACTCTGGTCAATAAATGTTTATGTACAACTTTTATTTCTGTAGGATGAATGCCTAAAAGTGAAATTGTTGGGTTAAAGTGCATAAACATTTTCAAAACTTTTGATACATGCTACCAGATTGCCCTACTCCTCCCCAAATTTTATGAGTTTTTATTGTTGCCAACTTGGTAGGTAAATTTTAACATACTTTGTTTTAATAATTAGTGAACTTAAACATTTTTCATGTTTATTGGCAATTTATATTTAATTCTAATTTTTTTTTTTTAAGATTTTACATACTTATTTTTAGAGAAGCGAATGGAGGGAGAGAGGGAGAGAAACATCAATGTATGGTTGCATCTTTCATGTGTCCTACTGGGGACCTGGGTTGGGGACCTGGCCTGCAACCCAGGCATGTGCCCTATACTGGGAATTGAATAGGCAACCCTTTGGTTTGCAGGCCAGAGTTCAGTCCACTGAGCCACACCAGCTAGGGCTAATCCTAATTTCTTAAAGTCATCTAATATCCACATTATATTCCAATTTCCCTGGTTCCAAAATGTCTCTTGTAAATTGTTACAATAGGATTTAATCAAGGTCTAGCTGTGTCCTTAGTACATGTCTTCATATCCCCCTCTTCCCTCCTCCAACAGTTTCTTTTTGCTGCCTGGCTGGCGGGCTGCAGGGCCACATGCACTGCAATATACTAGGCTGGCTTGACCCAGCTGGGCTTGCACCAGATGCTGGGTGAGCTTAAAGGAGCACCCGTCTAGCACACAGACACCGGGCACGTTGGTGTTCACCATGAACATTGGCATAGGGGGCCAGTGAGCTCCTCTCTTTCTCTTGGCGTGGTTGTATGTCCCTACTCTTTTCTCGATGAATTTCAATGCCTGCTTATCCTTGGAGAACTTGAGCAGCTTCATGGTGGGTTGTTTATAGGGAGCAAAGCTGCTCACCTCTCAGATCATGGCGACTGGAATTTGTGCTTCCTGAGGTTCCTCAGCTTGCTTACCTTTTTGGTTACATTGTGGTTTTTTCAGGCTCACAGCCATGGGGCATTGCACAGCCATGGCTACAGCTCTTCGATGGCTTTTGCTGTTGAAGGCCCTATGCTGGGACACTCTGTAGAATTTCTCATGGATTTGTTGTTAAAATCAGTGTGTTATAATCAACTATAGTCATTATTCTGTTTTTACTTGTCCCAAATTTGATCATGGCAACTTCTTCAAACAAGCTCCTGTGTCTTCTGGCATAATCCCATTAATCTTTTTTTAAAAATTGTGGTTTGAAAATAACATTTACCATTCTAACCATTTATAAATATACAGTTCAGTAGTGTTATGTTTATTCACATTGTTGTGAGGAAGATATCTAAAACTTTATTGTGCAAATCTCAAGCTCTCT